CACCACCACTCCATCATCTTTTGGATTAATCTTATCTATCTGATAGCTACACAAACCCAACACTGAAAAAAAGAAAAAGGCAAATAGTGGCAAAATACTAAATATAACTGAATCGGAAGAAAAAGGCAGTATAATCAGTATACAACTGGCAGTGTAGCAGCATCAGCCTTAAGTCTTCCACTGGCAGCTCCATACACTCAATGATGAGAACTCTAAAGAGCGCTGGGTGAGAAGGTGCTAATGAACCAGCCAGCTCTGGGTTATTCTCTGGAGAGGATGACATTCAAGTCATATCCATATTAAAGATTCTAGATGTAGAGAAGCAGTTATTACAAACGTTTTTGTTTGTTTTAAATCTTGTGTTGGTTTTATTTTAATGCAATTTCACTGATTTACCAATCTCCATAGAAGTTCAGGATATTCTTACGAACTTCAAAAAAAAAAAAGTGGGAGTGGTTGCAGAGGCCACAAAGATGAGTGGGTTGGAGTATCTCTCCTATGGAAAAAAAAGATTGAGGGAGCTGTTTTGTTTTTGTTTTGTTGTTGTTTGGGTGTTGTTTTTTTTTTTCCCCCAGCCTGGAGAAGAGAAGGCTCTGGGAAGACTTCACTGTGGTTTTCCAGTACTTAGAATTAGTTTACAAGCAGGAAAGACTTTTTACATGGTTTAATAGTGATTGGACAAGGCAGAATGGTTTTAAACTAAAAGAGGAGTGATTGAGATTAGATGTTAAGAAGAAAATCTTCATTCAATGGATGGTGAGGAATTGGCACAGACTGCCCAGAGAAGCTGTGATCCCTGGAGGTGCTCAAGGCCAGGCTGGATGAGGGCTCTGGACAGTCTGATCTACTGCCTGATTTAGTGGTTGGCAACCCCACAGCTGGGGGTTGGAATGAAACGGTCTTTAAGGTCCCTTGCAACTCAAGCCATTCTACGATTCTATGATCTACTCTCCAACAAAACGCAATTAGTTATTTTTAAGTCCAAAAGGTTGAGACTACATCATTTCTGAAGGATACTGAAAGTTATCACTAATGGAGAAGACCAGTAAAATGCAATCTTCATTTAAGTGACATCCTAAACTGGCGTGAAAACCCTCATAGTAGTGTGAAGACCCACAAGTCTTGTAACTCAGTATGGCAACTCTGGGAGTATTTCATGAAATGCAAATAGCTCCCCTTGCCCCAATGGCATGCAGGGAACGTGGGCACTCCGCCAGCTTCAGCCTTCCTGCCTCATCCACCTCACATCCAGCACTTGGCAGGCACTGGCCCCCAGCAGTCACAAGCTGTATGTAATGAGACAAAGGCCACTCCTACCTGTTCATCAACTGAACAGGGTTCTTGAGCCTTGAAGAGCAATATACATCTTCTCAACCCTGCCTCTAAGCAGTCATTTAGACAGCTTGACACACTTTCATTACTAGGGTTCTTATAAGTGTAAGACCAAATGTAAACCAAATTCCACATAAAACTGTCAGGCAAGATCAACACTGGGTAAGGGAGGAAATAAGAACATTATTTCTATTTTTAATGTTTGGGGCAGGATGGACAAGGCAGTTTTTAAACAGAGCACCTTAAATTAGAAGTCTAGCATGCTTATGATAAAGACACACTGTGGCAGTTACCACATTATGGTCTTGGCCTTTTGTTGCTGTTGAGCTACACAAACCAAGCTCATTTACAGTAATGTTACCTTGCAGTCAAAAAAAAGTGCTTGCAGCTTGAAGATAAAGATAGCTTTCATCAGGATTGCTCATGAGACATGTCCAACTGCAGCTCAGAGAATGGGGCAAAGCCCATTGCTGCAGCCTTTGCCTGAGTGCCAGTCAATACAGCTCCTGTGATCAACTAATATACTCTTGGCTTATTCCACCCACAAACCTCAGCTTATAGCACGAAGTCATTTAATCCTTCCGTTTCCCTCTACAAAAAACGGGAGATAGCCACACTTCATATCCCTTTGGGAAGCCAGATTTATAGCTTAAGCACACTAAAAATACCAAGCACTATTTAAACTTGCCTGAGTTAAATTGGCAGATTATGCTATATGGAATGACTTCGGGACTTTGAATAATATGCTGCTGATAAAGTGGATGAGGCATTCAGTAACTGTTTAATTATTCTCTAATCTTCCTATTCTCATCTGAAAATTATCTTTCCAAGAAACGTTGGCAAATGATGTCCTCAGCAGACAGAGGTAAGTCATTTCCATTCTAGAGAGCCAAACCATATCCTGCACGGATCAGGGAAACCAAAGCACACAGATGGTAAAGCAGTGTGTGGATCTGACGGTCCTTGACATTCAGACCATCTAACAGAACTGCTATCACAACTCCAGACAATGTTTACAAGACAATCACTTGCTCCTGTAGCTTTTTAATTTTTACTGCAGCAAGAAGTTTCGTGTTTGCACCAGACAGCACTAATCACCTTTGAAAGCTACACTCACTGGTCTGCTGTCTGCAGAGCATCCACACCCGTACAGCCTTAAAGGACTCATGTAACAAAGGGTTTGGTTATTGTTCTAAACAATGTTGTGCTGTTATGTTCCACATTCATACACGACAGCACAATTTTCTCAAGCCAACTCCACTTAACATCTACCTGTTTTAGCTACTGTTAGTAGCCACAAAACAAACCCACATATCTCCCTTCTCCTGCCCTTCCAGCAGTATACTTTGTGCCATGCACTCTACAGAATGGCTCAGTGGGTGCTCTGTGTGATGCTGCCACCAGACTGTCACATCAGCCAAAGGTACCACATAACACAAATGAAGTATCAATGTGTGATACCAAAGTTTAAGCGTCTGCTCAGAAAAGTTACCAAAACCCAGACAAAGGAAACTTCCTCAGAAACACCTACATTGCAATGCTTATTTCACCTTTAGCATCCTGAAGGATAATACACAGCTGATAAGATCTACAGCCTTAGAAACGAACATGATAAAACTGCCCCACAACAGATTACATCTAAATGTAGTAACATCTACTACAGACTATGGCAGTATGCCTATCTTCAAGCAAATGAACTCAAAGTAAAGTAGTCTGCTCAAGAAAAAGAGACTGCATATTATTGGTGGCCTGCAAGCAAAAGTTTAAAATAAAGAAAAGATGCTCCTTTTCTTGCATCAACTGCTCCTCAGAGAGAAAGGATCCATCAGGCAGTGCAAGCGTCCCACAGCCCCTTGGCTACCAGCAGTGCTTCTATGCAGCCAGGTGGCTGCTGTCTGGGTGCCCATCCATTTTGGCACATCACAGCAGAAACGCTACACAACTCAGACTGAAAACGCAGATGAGGACTGATGTTGATGTAAGCCCTTAGCTCTGGTACAAAGGATACACATATGTTTGGTACAACTCATCGGGTGCCTCTAAGGGTTTCCTAATGCACCCATTTTAACAGGGCAGATAAACGCATCATTAATAAAAATTGCTTGGAAACAGAAATAGCACGGCATTAAAAAGAATACATAAAAGCAGACTTCTGCACAATGCAAGTTTGTGTCAAGGAGGTTTCATAAATTGAAGTTGAAGGTTATAGAAGAATTGTGAAAGATTCAACTCCTTTTCAGCCTCCTCCAGCACACAGTACAATAGCTGACACTGTAACTGGGTGTGAAGATTTTGCAGATAGCACTCTTTGTGCAGGTGGGTGAGCATATAGCAAAAAACACAGTCCCTGCAAAGAAATGATGACTTCAGATCAGCATTTCATTGCTTTGCAATGGTTGTAAGAACCACGATACACCCGCATCCCAGGGGTGTGGACGGCCCGAATGGAACAGTGGCTTTTTGTTACCATCCTGAATAGCCCTTGGGAGGCAAATCACAGAAAACCATGGAATGCGTTTAAATTAGAACAAGCATCTAAGACTATATTATATTTACACAGGACTCTTTTCGCGATGACATTTCCTCGTTGACCCAATGGATGCATGCCCTCCCTTCCCTCCCCCCCCCTCGGGAAATCACAGCGGCACCGCTCCGGCAAGCACAGGGCTGCAGCCAGACGAGCATCCCTACACGCGGAGCTGCCGGACAATGACCCGTGTCCAGGTGCCTACAGGACTCGCTACGAAAAACGTATGGGAGGGCATCAGCTCATTGTTCGGCAGTCCAGGAGGTGGTTATTCCGATAGGGGGAAGGCTGTTTAGCCGCTTGCCGTCAGGATTAACAATGACTACTGAGCATCTTTTTCAGCTCGCAATCATAAAAAATGCTGCAGTTGTGGGGAAAATAAATAAATAAATAAGGAAAATAAGATGGGAAGGAAGCAGCAGGCAGCCCGAGAGCGCAGCACACAGCCCCGCGTGCCACCCCAGGGCGTCCCAGAGCTGCCCGGGAGCCCTTGCCCACAGTGGGGCTGATCGACAGCCGCAGCCCAGCCGTGACCCGACCGGTGAAGGAGTCGAGGAAATAAACGCCACTGAATGCCTATAATTTAGCATTTAGAGGACGACAACATCTGGGATCAACTCCAAGCGGGACGGAGCCGTGCTGGCTGCTCGCAGAGCTCTCACGCGTACACATGCACACACACACACACAAAAACAAAGAGAGCTCCGCGCCGCTCCCGCCTCGCCCTCCACTCTCCCCCGCCCCTCCACGCACGCACCCCCAGCACCCAAACACAGCGCACACACGGGAAGAGTGACCAACTCCTCCGGAGCTCCGCGCACCGCGCTCGGCTGCGGGGCCATTGTCCGGGACGAGCGCACCGCGATCAGCGCTTTTCGCACGGCGCGTCAAGAAGAAACGTACAAAGCAGTCGCAGCGATACCCGGAGCGCTCCGCAGGGCGATCCCGCTGGCTCCGCAGCCCTGCCCCGGGCTAAGTTGAAATAATACGCGGCTCGGCCGGCGGCGCTTCGTCCGTCCGCGCAGCGCGAACAATGCCCGGCAGAGCGCGGACCGCTCCTCGACCGGGCAGGCGGCTGTGCGGGCAGGTGGGGCGCCGGGCTGCGGCCCCCCGCCCGTCTCTCCCTCACTTACTCACTCACCCACGCCGTACTTCTCGTGCTCCGTGGGGATCCACATGCTGGCGGCAGTTCCTCCGCTCAGAGCGGCGCTGCTTGAGGAGCGCGTCCCGCCCGGCTGCTCCGCCGCCCCTCAGCCGCGGCTGCCCGGCTCTGGCAGCGAAGGCATTGTTCTGACGGACGGCCAAGCGGACGGACTGGCTGAGCCGCGCTCGCCTCGAGCCCCTTATACGCTCGTCCCGCTGCACGCCGCGCAACGTAGCGCGGTGCCTCGGCGCGGCCGCGCCCCTCGTCGACAGCGGCCGGCGGGGACTACGAACCCCGTCTGGCCCCGCGCTCCCGGCGGGGCGGGGATCGCGTCACGGGGCGGGCGGGACGGGAGGGCGGAAGGAGGCGGGGAGGAGCGGCGCGACGGCATGGCAGCGGCCCGCGGGGAAGGGGGCCCGACCGCGCGAGGAGGTGAGCCGAGGTTTGGGGTGGCGGGAGGTGCCCTTCCGATGGCCCCGAGCGTGCGGGGCTGGGGGTGGGTGTCTGTCTGCAAGAGCCGTGCCCGCAGCCGAGGGACGCGCGTGGCTTTAACTTTCCTAAAGCAGAGTGAGGCGAGGAGCGGCGTCAGGGGACAGCCCGGCGCGAAGGGGCCCGTGCGGGTAACGCCACAGCTCCCTGCAGGGAGCCCGTGCTCTGTGTCCCACCAGCATTCGCAGGGCGTGGGTCACGGCAGGGCCGCCCCGGGTGGTCCGAAGTGAGAGGCACAGCTGTGCTGGGTCCGGCCAATCGCTGTTAATTGTCACATCTGCGATACCCAGGTATGAGAAGCGCCGTGGGCTGGGGGCAGGAGGTCAGGTGGAGATGGTTCAGGTCATTTTTCTGGTCCTTCTGACCTGAGCAAGGTACTGCAGAACCCTTGAGTTTGGCACAGGGCACTGAGAGAAGGAGGATTCAGCTGATAGACTGGGGTCTTTATGGTTTCCCAAATAAATCTGCATCTTTAGAGGCACGTGTACAGAGATAAAAGGAATCACAGAATGGCCAGGGTTGAAAGGGACTTCAGGGATGATGAATTTCCAACCCCCCTGCCACAGGCAGGGCCACCAACCTCCCCATTTAATACTAGACCAGGTGCCCAGGGCCCCATCCAATCTGGCCGTGAACACCTCCAGGGACAGGGCATCCACAACCTCTCTGGGCAGCTGTTCCAGCACCTCACCACGCTCTCTATAAAGAAGTAGATGGTGCACAGGGAGGAGCGCAAGTGGAACATCTGGGGGACAGCCAGGGGCAGGGTAGGCACTGCCAGCAGCACAAAGGCAAGGTCTGCATCCGGGGTGAGAGGCCTACATATCAGAACCACAGAATCACAGAATTGTAGGGTTTGGAAGGGACCTGCAGGGACCATCAAGTTCAACCCCCTGCTAAAGCATATTCTTTACAGTAGGTTGCACAGGAAGGGGTTTTGAAGGAGGGTTTTGGTTGCCCAAGGAGGCATTCGAGGCCAGGCTGGATGTGGCTCTGGACAGCCTGGTGTAATGGTTGGTGACCCTGCACATAGAAGGGAGGTTGACACTAGATGATCATTGTGGTCCTTTTCAACCCAGGCCATTCTATGATTCTCCAGTTCTATAAAGAAGACTGAGGTGTCTGTGCTTCTATAGAATCATCTGAGCAGAAAGTGCCCATAGGTAACGCAGGCTAAGTCCCAAGCCTGAGCTGATCATTGCAAGGGAAACCTGAGTGTTGTGAAGCAGAAAAATGAGCCTATGTTGTATACCCTAGCCACGTGGAAGGGAACAGATGGGAAAAAGGACAAAGAAATCCAGTGATATGATGCTGCTCTGCTGTACAAGGCATCTCTAAGATTAATAATATCTTTTTCAAAAAAAAAACCTGTTCTCCAATCAAATCATTATTCTGAACTGGGATGATTCTGTTTGAGCTCAACAAAAAAATTCATTTTTAATGTTCTCACACTTAAGCGAGGAAAGTGGGTGAAGGTGTTGGTTTTTTTTTTTTGCTTTAGATTGTCTTTTAGCCTTTATTGTCAAGCTACCTAGGATTTCTAAGTCATTGGTACCACGAAGGACACACTGGAAGGAAAAGTCCTGTGCAGATGTGCAGCTTCCAGCCTATGGTTAAATGCACTTGAGCCATGTTTATCTTTCTCGCATCAAACTTAGGTACTATTGAGTAACTTAAGTGCCCTTGTTTTTTCACTAGTATGTACCTTGCTTCTGTACATAAAAGTAAAATCACTTTATTTGTGCTGGTAGTTAAAGCAGTTGTCTTAATTTCTTTCTGTAGCATTGTGTTGGCATGAGCTTTGCCTACATGAAAAGCCAGATCCTTCTAGGGCATTTTTACACTTGTGCAATTGCATCCAGAGGCAAAGCTGTGTTGGTTTAAGTATTTAAAAGGTCACAAATTTTAACTGTTCTCATCTTCTGTGTGAAACTGCATATAGGACTCTGGGGTGTCTGAGACAATGAGGTAAGTTTCACAAAGACACTGGGGCTTGTATGAAGAAAGCTTACTTATGGTGTTTTCTTGTTAGCATATTCAAAAATTCGTTGAAAGAATTGGTGAACTTTTGATAGTTTTGATTGATTCCCAACATTGGTTTATGTATTGTAGTAGATCCTTTGGAGTCTTGATGTGATAATATGTGTAAAAGTCACCATTGAAAATCAAAATAGTAGATGTCAGGCTGAATTAACTTCTGTCCCAGACTATAGACATCCATGTACATCCAACCTATCTTCTTCTCCTTAAGAGAGGGCTGCCAACATGTTGGCTGGCAGTCATAAAATTCTGCCTGAATTCAGACAGCATGTCTGCTGTCTGTCATGCGAACCATGACTGACTTCAACATGTTTGCGCTGGGCTCAGAGCCCGTCTTTCTTCTTGCCTTGAACAAAGACAAAGCTAGCCAGTAGCTGAAATTCCTTTTCAAAATTATTCACTCAGGGCCCAGCCACTTACGTTGAACAGATCTTGTCATATAAATCACTTTGTAGGCAAAAACAAACAAAAAAAAAAAAAAAAAAAAAAAATCACCCTGATATTTATCATTTTCCTATTTCAGAGCAACATTCCTGTTCTTCCTGCAAAGCTGTTCACGTGTTGTGCTTGATGTGCACCTCAGAAGTTGTGTCACTTGTTTGGAGACAGAATGCAGGAAAATAAAATATAACATTTTTTCCTGTCCTGCCATTTCCTGTGTATGGGAAAGCCTGGGCTTGTATATGCTAATCCAGGGCTGTGTAGCTTTCTGGTTAATTCCCTCCAGCAGCTGTCACTGAGTGGCTTATAATAAACATATCACTGTCCACAGTGCAAGTTTTCAATCTACATTAATTATGCTACATAGCAGCATTTCTTAAAGCATCTGTCAATGGATTTTTAAGTATTCTGAATTTTTCTTTTCTGAAAGTGTGTTTTCCATAGCTTCATAGGCAGTCGGTAAGTTACAATTTCATATGTAAGGTTTTAGTGTGCTCAGATTCTTTTCAGTGCAATACCATTCTCCTGGAGAATTCTGTGCAGAGCACACTATTCCTTCTGCATCTCTCATGTCCCATTTTTAAGGGGGTCTGACTTGCTATAGAAAACTAAAGTTTCACCGTACTTGCAAAATCCCCTCTTTCTTGTTACTACCTAGAGGATACTTCAGAGAAAGTTGTTGCTTTTTTTTGTTGTTGTTTTCCTTAGTACTATAAGTATCCCTACTTTAGCTCAATTATAAATTCCCTTTGTGAAGAATGTTATGAGAACTGCTCAATCCACTGGGTCTAGGGAGTTTTCTTTCTTGGTTACTGAAGCCCAGTCCTATGTATTTTCAGACCTGAGATATTTCACTGTTCTGGCTCATGGATGTGTCTGCTGCTGTTCTTGTCTTCAGGTCTTAGCCAATGGCAAGACAGTATGTATTCAAGAGAGGCATGCCAAAACAGAAAAAAACATTGATTAGCCATGCAGACAGCTACAGAGCAATGCCTTTATCATACACTCATAAACACCAATAGTGCTCACATAAGCAGCAATACAGATAGCACAGTCTTGTTCTTCCTTTCTGGTCAATCAGGACTGACATTCGCTAGAGAAAACATGATTGCTTTCTAGATTTTTGGGACCCACCATGTCTACATACCTCTTAAATTTGAGCATGTGCTCTAAATTTGTTTAATACCATCCCTGGACTTTGGGCCAATTATGCAGCCACTGGCTCAGACACATTGTTTTAAAATATAACCTTCTGCTCACTGTTCCAGTTTGATTACACATACAGACACGAGATGCTGTGGAAGTTCACCCAGGCCCCTCCTGTTGCTGCTGTTCAAATCTTTCACATGTACACTCCAACCTTTCTTGTTTCTGGCATCTGGACCTACAAGTTTTACGTGCTGTGGTTTCTCTGCTGCCATTTCAACCTCTTGAATTTCGGGCTTTCCAGTTGCTGGCATCTGGACCTGCAGGCCCAGTGGCCCACAGTGTGTTCTCCAGGTCTACCTTTAGACCTTACAGCACTCTTGTCTATGCGGCAGGGTAAGAGTATGCATAAGTTAAGAATATAATTTAATAAGAAGGCAGGTAGACTGCAGTGATCATGTGCAGGGCTCAGGAATGTACTTACATGCAAGTGGCTGTTTTTATGCCAGTCTTTTCTGTTTTCCCATGCTTGTTCTTCTCCCTTATCTGTCTTTATCTCTCCATTTCTCCACCCTTGTCTTCTCCCACATAAGTCTGCCTCTAATTATTTATTCACCATTTGTCCTACGTCAGCTATATACATAACCATATTTGTTCTTTCTGATGCTCTTTCCTGGGTTGCATCTCCTATGGCCTCACTGTATCAGCCCTGCTGGCCTTGCAGGATTTTACTCTCCAGAAGATCCCAGTATCCTTCCCCATTTCTGTGTGAAGCCTGGCCATCTCTCGCATAACTCCCCTCTTCATTATCTTAAATCCAACCATTCCTCAGTTTTCTCTGTAGCTCACTTGCCTACTCTGAGCTTAGTAGCTACAAGTGAACTCAAATATTTATGGGAGTGGGAAAGTGAAGCACTTCTTGGCTCCCATATGCTAAATTAAAGATGGGATTTGGCC